TACAACAATGAAAACACAAAACCACAGAAAGGGACATAAATGAATCTCTTGAATCAGATATTATTAGAGTAGAAGAAAAAAAAACAAAAAGTGTCAGTCTGTCGGTCAGTCCTCTAGTGAAGCTATTTGCTCGTTCCAAAGTGTAGATTCCTATGGAGAAGAACGAGCAACAAACTCCATGGTTACTCTTTTTCAATCACTTTCACAAGACAATACTTGGTTACATTATAAAGTTGGTTCAAGGGAACAATATAACACCAAAATCAAGACAACAACAAAAAAACACACTAAGGACAAAACTTGTGGACTATTCCTATTCTCTAGACTCAGACAAAGTAATACTGATTTTTTTTATGTAATTGACCGGCAAACGAGCAGACGGATTATCTGATGGTAAGCAATCAGTACCATCCATGGACACCCGCAACGGAGGAGTTACGAGTGCGTTGCCGACCTCTTAGGGATTAGTGTTTTGGAGATTAAGGGATTGGGAAGGGATCGGGGGAGGGGAAGGATTTCGCCTCCGGTAACCTCACTCACCCGGCGAAACACAACGCTGTGGTTGTTTCACGCCGGTTTTCTGTGAGGCCGTGGTATCAATCCGGTCGAGCCGACCCATTCGTGTCGAAGCATGGCTTCTTCAGACACTCGAATTTTATGGTGTGATACTTTTGATACATTCAACGTATCAAAAGTATCACTATCAACAATGCTATCATCATCATACCATCAGCCTGTTGTCGTCCACTGCTGGACATAGGCCCCCCCAATAGCACGCCACTGAGCTCGATGTTCAGCTCTTCTCATCCAACCACTGCCAGCCACCCTGCGGATGTCGTCAGTCCACCTGGCTGGAGGGCGCCCTACACTACGTTTGCCTAGACGTGGTCTCCACTCTAGAACACGTTTACCCCAGCGGTCATCGGTTCTTCGACAGATGTGACCTGACCACTGCCAATCAACAATGCTTTACCACCTACCTACCTCTTACACAAACTAGTCATTCAGTATTGGTCTATAGATCTCTCAGAACATGTTCCACTTACGGAAACCGACCATTGTTTGGCTACCCACGCTCTTTACTTTTGCATTCCAACGATTATAGATCGTCTTCTACATAACACAAGCCTTGCTGACGGCAGAGAAAAATTTATGAAGCACCTTACTCGAAAAAAGTCTAAAAAAGGACTATGCTAAAATTATTCATGTCTCGAACCGAAAACCTGATAGGGGACAGTAAAATATTTAAATCTAGCTAATCTACCCGCTTCTCGGCTCCATTTAATCGTAGCGTGATGTTTTATAGCCTATAGCACTCAGGAACATTGTAGCTATCTATCAGTGAAAGAATTTTGCCAATCCGACCAGCGGTTCCAAAGATTACCCCCTACATACAAACTTACAAATTTTACCTCTTTATAATATTAGTATAGAAGTAAGGCGCGAGTAAGGCGCGTTGCGATCCGCGCGCGCCTCAAAGAGCCAATAGACCACCACAGACGGGGCCCTATAGGGCTGATGTTCAGCCGGGGTGGAGGGGTAAGCGCAAGGCACCGCGACCTCGACCCAGAGCAGGAGAAGGAAACTATGAGCGGGAGAAGTCATTTGATGATATTCCCCTCAAAAAAAAGCACTTATCATAATTTTTAATTAATTACAACACGTGCTACCTCATCAGCGTCTCAACTGAAACTGACTTTGTAAGCGCATTTACACGTAAATAGTTCGTAATTTTTCAATCTACCCACAGTTTATATTTAGAATAGGGTCTTTGTACGACAATTGGTTACAATGCTGATTGGAAGATAGGACAAGTGGGAGGGCGATGATGTCACGATCCGATGATAGAGGTCGATAAAAGTCATTGCTTTAATATCAGGAATGTTGTACGTACGTCAGACCACGTTTTATACCATACATTTACGTCGTGGTGGCCCGGAGGTTAAGGAGCCCGCTTCTCATGTATGAGGGTGTGGGTTCGAAACCTGGCAAGTACCAATGTGACTTTTTCCGAGTTATATGTACTTTCTATGATTATTTAGACACCACTGACATACGGTGAAGGTAAACATCGTGAGGAAACCTGGACTTATAATTTCTGATTATAAGTTTGAAATCGTCAATCCGCCTTGAGCAAGCGTGGTGATTAATGTTCAAACATTCTCCTTGTGGGAAGAGGCCTTTGCTCAGCAGCAGGCAACTTATATAGGCTGATGATGATGATGATGATGATTCTTGCCATAATACGTGACCCAAATTCACCCAAATCAGAACCCCAATTAAGTTAGACGCGTAATTATAATCTTATCTTATCAAGAAGGACCTATTTAAGGCCATTTGAAGTATCATTGTGCATTCAATAATTATATCGAACGATAAACAATATGATTTCCTTATTTATTTTCGTTATCTTCATTTAATACGTATATTTTGTTAATCTGTTTATTGACTCATTGATTAGGCTTTAAAAATGCAATTAGGTTTTGTGTTATACCTAGTCTAGCCATAAATACTGTAACAACTGGGTGATGCAGAGATAAATATAAAGGTGCACAAAACAAGCATCATCAGAGACATGATACATTATACCTGTTTTTCTTTGACGTAGTAAAACAAACTAATTAGGGAAATACCAAGACAACGTGCTAAATTTGATAACACGTCGAAAGATCGACTTATCATCAACCGAGCAAATATAATATACTACATCTTGAAACAAAAATAAAATGACTCATGATTCTTGTTAAAAAAGACTCGCTTAATACGCAGTTTAAGAGCGAATTCGCAATCTTTATACATCATACGATGTTTTTTTTTCAAGTCATAAAAATCGTCGGCAAACGGGCAGATGGATTACCTGATGGTAAGCAATCAGCGCCGCTCGTGGACACTCGTACGTAATATCAAGGGAAGGCTTTGCCGGCTTCTGGTGGGTTAGGATAGGGGATTTGAGAACGCAAAAGATAGTTAGTAGACGAAAACATGCAAATTTTTTGAAAACTGCGCCTAAAATTTTTGTTTTATCTATAGGTACTTATAATATTATAAAGAGGTAAAATTTGTAAGTTTGTATGTAGGTGATAATACTTGTAACCGCTGGTCGGATTGGCAAAATTCTATCACTGATAGATAGCTACAATGTTGCTGAGTGCTATAGGCTATAAAACATCACGCTACGAAAAAGAGTAGCTAGTATTAAAATCGTATAAAAAAGGTTTAATTATTTAAAAAATGGACGTTATGGTTATAATTATAAGATGACTACCTACTACGAATCTCTTCAGCGCTTTGAACCAAATCTTAGTACTACCTAGCAGTGGGAAGACAGACCGTCCTTTATGAGGAGGGCAAATCATCAGTCAGACTTCTCTAGCGCAAGAATGACGGACTCTTAATGACTAAAACCCACTCCGTCCCTTCTCCTGCTCCAGGCCTTGCCAGGCAGGCGCGGTTGTACACCAGAGACAAGACTACTTAATAATATCATTCCTTGCGCTTGACGATTCTATTTTTAGATATTCCTTCGTCACTCTCCGAAACTTATTACAACGAAAGAAAAGTCGTGATTTTGTTTTGAATCCATTGTGAAAACAAAATTAATTTCTATCATCTATTGGGTATTTAAACGCACTATCTCTGCTTACGACACAAAAAGATAAGCTTAAATAAATAAATAACTAAAAGTAAATAAAACGATGTTCAGTTAAAGTAAATGTAATGTAGGTTTTTAAACTATTTATGGATGGAAATATTATACGACCGTATAAAGATGTGATACTTTCAAACAGCTTCCGATGTAGATGACGTGGCTATTTATAATATTGGTTAATCACAGTCCATAACATGTACGTACCTACGCATTATTATTTTATGACGCAAATTAAATTATTGACCTCGAGAGTTGAACTCGTGGACGCCATATTGGTTATTTTGAAACGTAAAACGTAAACATTGACTAAGGAATCTTTTTATTCTGCGTCTTACTTTTTAATCATTAGTTTTGAGAAGGTTTTTGAGTAAATGGTCGTTGTTTTGCACTCATTACAGCGAATAAAGCGATTAGAAACACGTAAATCGTGTTTCGTCACGCACCAAACAAGTTTTGTTGACACAAGTTCTTTATTTATTTATGTCTGCAAAATGTACTCACCGCTCAGATCTTCGATAGTGTTCAGTTTTCGAGTCGTCATTTTCACGTTAAACAAATTCACAACACGATTAAACGGTAACTAGTAGGAAATAACGCACTTTCGAAGGAAATGTATCGAGTTTTTCAAGTTTTCACAAAGAGAACAACCTCCCACGACTGCCTTTGTTTTCTTTTTGTGTTGACTGTTTTGATTTTGTTCCGCTCTGACAGAAGGCGTGCGAATCGCAATCTATTTTGATTGGTTATTATACCATAAAATTCAACCAATCGAGTACGAGAACGTCAACCATGCGTTTTTTAATTGGTTACAAATTGTAAACAAAAAATAATGTTGCTAGTCGAGAAAATACAGACAAATCTTTCAAGGACATCTACTTTCACTGATTTATTTTGAGCCGTAGGTAATTTTAGTTAAAAATATCGTTATTTTAGATAAAAGCTAATAATTCTAAGAAAATAATTCTTATTTTAAAATGATTGAACTTCAAAGTAAAACCGTACATCAATTCAGTTTATTTTTCGATTCTAGATTTACAATTTTTTAAATACGTTTTCATGTTCTCAGTAAAATGAACATAAAAATAAATATTAAACATTAAACACTAATTACTTATTTTGTTCACACTAAAATCATAACTATTTACAGCGCATCGACAATTTTGTAGCGAAGAGTCAAGACTACAAAAAAAATGTTTCGTAAAACTCAATTTATTATAATAAAATAAAACAACTGAACAATCTAAATTACCCGAAGCAGTATTTTTGTTAAGAATGGGGTAAACAACCTCTTGACAAACATTGTCAATTCTGGCAACATTATTCACCGCAACTTCATTCATTCATTCGGTTAATTTACTTCACCGAGTCAACGTCAAATGCATTGACATTCACGTTGCAGTTGTCATCTGTTCCACAATTTTGCTCCACCAAATTTGTGTGATGACATAAGTTCAAGAACCACTGTTATTTTTGTGTACTGTGCAGTTAAGTGATATTCATAATGAGTGCCAATAAATCTGAAAGTGAATATTCGCTACATCAGAACCACGACATCGTTGAGAATCCACGGTAAGTGCTGTATTATTACCTCAAATCTTTGCAATTTCGATGTTGTAGTTGACAGCTGATTTGAGCCGCGGGAAAGTTAAAAAGGCGCCAAATACTAGGGTCGTGATTTCTTGTGTTTTAATGGTTTTTCTTGTTATTTTTGTTATAAAATGCGCTTATTTCACAGGAAACGTTTCTGTGTGGACCATGCGGGTCGGAAAAGTTGGAGTTTACTCGAACGCACCACTGATGAAGAGGTAAGCCGTACGCCGGTTCCCGCTTTTTTTCGTGGTACTTTTTTGGTTAGGATTTCTTTTTTAAGTCTGAAGTACCACATGCTAATGTGACAATAGCTTTCCAAAGTGCCGCAAACACTCTCTAACTACCGGAAATAGTTAATTATTACTTAAATAACTTTTATTACAACCGTTTTCGTGGTGTCTATGTGTTGGGTTATCTACGATAAAATTTGGTTTTTTCTAATGAATGACTACCTAAGATATCCTCAATATAGCCAATTATCGTGTCTCAATTCGTATTTTATTAAAATATAATTGAAAATATACGTTAAAATGGAAATTACACGGTCTACGCCTAAAGTTCGATGACCTGCGTTTTTTCGTTACGCTAGCAAGATTCACCCGTGTATTTTTTGATTGCTGTGTTGACGGTATTTCCAGAAAAGCTTATTCGGATATCATAATGACCTCGATAATAGTATTTTAACACTAAAAGTGTCAATTTTACAATTAAACTGCTCTCAATCAAGAAATATTGAGTAACAAGCATCTTCACGCGACTATGGTCGTGAGATTTTTCTTAAAAATAGCCTATATCCATCTCAGTAATCTATTTTATGTATAAGCAAAATTACAAGAAGTTTGAAAGAAGTGTAAAGAGGTTACATACTTACTTTGAACAGAGTTAGATGAAAAAAACTCATAAGCTGACTAGCTGCCTAAAAAACTTAAAGCCAAAGTAATATGTTTTGAGATTTGCTAATTAGGTTATTGTAGATTGGTTGGACATGCAGTAGTGTGGTATTTTAAAATGCAATTATTGTTTCTGTTTGTTATAATAATTATTAAGGCAAATTATAAAAAAAAAAACAATAAAAGAATGTTTATTCCGACTAACTTTATACAGGTATTCTTGGAATGTTAAAATAGAATAATTATCTGTTAGTCTGTTCGTCATTGGAGCTATATGGTTTAGTTGGATTTGATGTTAATTTGACATAAGGATGGTGTTTCAATTCCTGGCAAGTACCAATGTAACTTTTTTCAGAGATATAAATATGTACTTACTTTCTAAGATTAATTAGACATACTGACATACAGTGGAGGTAAACACAGTAAGGAAACCTGGACTTGTAACTTCTAATTATAAGTTTGTCATCACCAGCCCACATTAAGCAAGCTTGGTGATTAATGCTCAAACTTTCTCCGTGTGAGAAGAGGCCCTTGCTTAGCAGTGCATACTTATGGGCTGATGATGATGAAGACTGTCTAAGATCAATTAGGCACCACTGACATACATTGACTTAAAATTTGTTGAGCTTAGACACCACTGACATAGGTAACTGAAAGGAAACATCATGAGAAAACTTGAACTTGTAATTTCTACATATAAGTTTGAAATCACCAATCCACATTGAGCAAGCATGGTGTTATTGTTCAAAGCTTTGCTGATGGAATAATAAGTTGATGATGTGACGATCTTACGCATGGTTTTGCTGTTTACTTGAAAGTTTGTCTCATATTATGGTATTTAAAAGTCAAAACGCAACTTCAGATCCCATGGTACATTACGGCCGCCGTATCTATCTTGGCGAGTTAGCCGTTTGTCTGCGCAATGGAACTTTTAGGAACAAAATTGTGTACTGCACAGCTAATCGGCTAACTTCAGACTCGCCAAGATACGTTGGCGGTATTGTAATTACTGAATTATATTTTAATCACTACAATTCTTAATCATATACATCATTATTTAATAGTTCGCTTGTAATCTTACTAATATTATAAATGCTAAAGTTACGATGTTTGGATGTTTGTTACTCAATCACGCCAAAACGGTTGGACGGATCTGGATGAAATTTGACACAGGCATAGGATAGATACACTTCGGAATAGGACATAGGCAGACTTTTTATCAACATAGCACGCGGGCGGAAACGAGTGACACCTGAATTTGTAATTTAGTAATGTCTTGTATGCTGTTTTAAAATATGGTCGGCCAGTTATTAGCCGACGGATTACCTGATGGTAAGCAATCGGCGCCGCCCATGGTCTCTGCAACACTAAAATTTGTTTCACGCCGGTGTTGTGAGAGGCCGTAATATCACTGCGCAAGAGCCGGCTCATTCATGCTGCAGTATGATAATGATCAGATCAGATTTTTTATGGTATCGGGCGGCAATATAGTAAACGGATTACCTGATGGTAAGCATTAAGCGCTGCCTATGGACACCCGTAATATCAATGCGTTGCCGGCCTTATAGGGATAAGGGTTATGGATATTTAAGGATTGAAAAGGGTTTGGGCCTTCGGTAACCTAAATCACATGGCGAAACACTCAGATAAAGAACTATCTCTAAAAATTTTCTTTCTTATAGGTATTGCAAGAGATGGGTGTCAGTCTCCTCGAGTCAGATGAGGAGTCCTCATGTGGGCCTAGCGTGTCAGGAATTGTAAGTAAAACTTAGAAATAAAACATTGCCCCACACTAGGTTATTCTCCTGTGTTGTGGGTGCGTTTACAAACATACAATGTCACATACAACATGACACCCAGACCTGCAACAACAATTTATGGACCACACAAAGTGTTGTTCCGTGCGGGAATCGCACCCGCGACACGTTGCACGGCAGCCAGTTGCCCAGCCACCGCACCAACCGTGCAGTCAAAAGTATAGTATAAAAAATTGATTTGTTTTTTTTTATTACAGACACAAAAATCAACGAAGCACCGGCAAGATATTGAGAACGTTAATCCGAATATCAATTCGGTGATGTCACCACGATCTAGGTACAGTCCTAGAAGCCCTAAACGCAAGGGGAGCCCTAACGCCGGCCCTTCTAAAGCCAAGAGTCCAAGGAGTTCAGATAAAAGTGATTATTTCGTATTTTTTTTATAATTATTTGTCAGTTTTTTATGGGAAAAGTCGGCAAACGACCCGTCAGATTACCTGATGGTAAGCAATTAGCGACGCCCATGGACACACGCAACACCAAAGGAGTCACGAGTGCGTTGCCTGCGTTTTGGGGATTAAGATAGCGGATATTTATGGATTAGGAAGGGATTGGGACTCCGGTAACCTCGCTCACACGGCGAAACACAACGCTGTGGTTGTTTCACGCCGGTTTTCTGTGAGGTCGTGGTTTTACTCCGGTCGTGCCGAAGCTGGATCTCCCACTTAAATTGGGTTAAAGTTAATCACTCTTAAATTTTAAGTTTGAAAAGACTAACAATTTCTAATTTTATGTTTGAAATCGCAAATCCGGCTTGAACAAGTATAGTGGTTAATGCTCAAACCTTCTCCGTGTGAGAAGAGGCCTTTGCTCAGCAGTGGACACTTATAGCACAGCTTAAAGGCTGATAATGAAGGTTACTTTGAACTTAAAAAATATAATTAAAAGTTGCAATTTGTCAGTGCCTCTAGTGAAGCTATTTGCTCGTTCCAAAGTATAGATTCCTATGGAGAAGAATAATTCTTTCACAATTTTAAGAGGAAAAAATCATTGACTGCTTTATCCCGCCCTGGATCCTCATCCTTAGACTCTTTCTGACTAGAAACCACCTTCTCCTAACTATCATATCACTATAAACATTAACCCTTACAAATTCTTTCAGCCAAACCACTTCAGCAAACAGAACAGCAAGTTCTTGAAACTAGTATTATCGACGAATATCTGATCGAGGAAGAAACTCCATTAGGTCAGTCAGTCAGCGCTGCATACATACCCACTACAAGAGCTACGTACAGCGCTGGCAGTGACAGCAGTGGAGGACGGCAGAGTTATACACGTGAGTATTCAAATTCTTCAATGTTGGTGATTAATGAGTTAGCCAAATTATTCAAATAATTATACTTATATTACAAACGCAATCCCGTACGAAATAAGTCCGTAGTGATACCACGGCCTCACAGAAAACCGGCGTGAAACAACCACCGCGTTGTGTTTCGCCGTGTGAGATAGGTTACCGGAGACCCAATTCTTTCCCAATCCCAATTCATCCTCAATCTCCAAATCCCTCTTAAATCTCTAACAATCCACCTACAAAAGACTGGCAACGCTCTTGCAACATTTGGTGTTACAAGTGTCCATGGGCGGCGCTGATTGCTTACCATCAGGTAATCCGTCTGCTCGTTTGCCGACCTATCCTATAGCACCTATCTTCACTGACGAGCAGACTGACAATCGATTATTTTATTTTGGCGATTCAAAAGTACCTATACAAAATTTATTGAAAACTAGCTACTGCCCGCTGCTCAGCTCGTATTGGTCGTATCGTGATGTTTTATAGCCTATAGCACTCAGGAACATTGTAGCTATCTATCAGTGAAAGAATTTTGGCAATCCGACCAGCGGTTCCAAAGATTACCCCCTACATACAACCTTACAAATCTTACGTCTTTATGCTGTTGGTATAGTTGACTTGAAACTAGTAGAGCTTTTCGCAGTTAATTAACGTGAGTAAGTCTTCTGTCCATAATATATCCCTTTGTACGCTTAAATCTTTAAAATTACGCAACTGATTTTGATGCGGTTTTTTTGTAATAGATAGAGTGATTAAAGAGGAAGATCTATATGTATAACTAGCTACTCTCGCGCGGTTTCAGTCGCTGCTCGGCTCCATTTGATCGTAGCGTGATGTTTTATTGCCTATAGCATACAGGAACATTGTAGTTACCAGTCTTGTGTAATTGTAGTAAAATCAGTGAAAGAATTTTGGCAATCCGACCAGCGGTTCCAACGATTACCCCCCTACATACAAACTTAGTACGAAGTATAGAAGAGTTTTAAAGGGACAAAAATAATGCCACCATGTATGTAACTTGTTTTACTTTTTTATAAAGCTATTTCTTGTATTAACTAAAAACCGCGTGTTACTCACGTGTATATATTGAGAAAAGCTCTACTGGTTTCGAACCACAGAGGGGTTCTTCCTCATGAGCAGCGTGCGCGGACTATTTCTTGTATGTTATTTTTGTTGATTATGTAATTGTGTTTTATTATTTAAGTACTTGACATTTATTTTTTTATTATTGACTTGTAACTTATTTGATAATTATTAGTATTGTATTCCTATATTATTGTAATCCTGTATTCGACACAATTTTTTTTTGTTCAGAATAAATGAATGAAAAAAAAGAATATATAAACTTACTATTTTTCATTTTAACTCGTACTTAAGAAATGTTTAATTATTATTTTAATTAATTCCTCCTATGTTTCCACTTTCAGCTCTTGGCATTGAAGATGACCTCATGCTAGAACGGCGTCACAAGTCCGAGCCCACTGAAAGCGATTCCTTCAAGCTCCTTTCTGACGAAATGATGCTCAGCGTCTTCAGTTGGCTACCTAAACGGACACTATCACACTGCATGCTGGTTTGTAAAAGGTATGTAGATATTGTTGTCGTATTTAAGTGTGGAAGGACCAAGTTTCGTGTGAGGTTACCGAAGGCCCAATCCCTCCCCAACCCCTCATCCCTTCCTTAAATATCCGCAACCCTTATCCGCCATTCTTCCTCAAAAGACCGGCAACGCACTTGCAACTGCTCAGGTGTTACGGGATCATGGACGGCGCAGATTGCTTAACATCACGTTATCCGTTTGAAGAAGCCGGCAAAAAACATAGTCGAGACTCCGGCTCGACCGGAGTGATACCACGGCCTTACAGAAAACCGTCGAAAAACCACAGCGTTGTGTTTCGCCGTGTGAGTGAGGTTATCGGAGGCCCAATCCTTCCCCTTACTTAGGTGCGCAACGCACTCGTAACTCCTCTGTTGTAGCGAGTGTCCATGGGCGCGCTGATTGCTTACCATCAGGTAATCCGTCTGCGGACCTATCACATCAAAAAACTTACCAGTCATCATACATAGTTAAAAAACTACTGAAATGCACGTGCACTTACAGTACGGCCACCGTATGTTGGCGAGTCTGAAGTTAGCCGTTTGTCTGCGCAATGGATCTTTTAGGAACAAAATTGTGTACTGCGCAGCTAATCGGCTAACTTCAGACTCGCCAAGATACGTTGGCGGTATTGTACAAAGCTACGTACTACCCGTGCCAATTAACAATTGTTTAACTGCACAAAACCTAGTTTTAAAGCCCGAGTTAAAAAGCTCATAATTGAAATAGACAAGCAGCAGGCAACTTTGTTCCATTCACCATAAAGTATTAACTATGTTAATTCATATTTTAATTTCTTTTTATAACAAGTAGAATATTTAACTTTCAATTCTATGTATAGTAAGACATTTTTTAATATTGTTTAAAGTCCGTTCGCATGGTAAACACAAATTAAGTTAAGCAGGGAAACCTATTATTAGCTTTACTAAACTGTAATATCTTTATTTGTATTATACCACATGTATCGCTGTTGGTTTTCTAAATAAATAAAAATAAAATTAAGTATGGGATTACAAATACCCCTACAGTGTTTTATAGAAATATTTAATTTCAGATGGTACCGAGTGGCCTGCGACGAGACGCTGTGGGTTCGAATGGATCTTGGAAATAAAACTATATCCAAAGACGCACTAGGAAGAATAATGTCAAGGAAACCTGTTATACTAAGATTGGCTAGTTCCGAGGTAAGATCCAAGCTAATATTATAAATGCGAAACTAACTCTGTCTGTCTATCTTTTCTTCACTCTTAAACTACTGAACCTATTTGTGTGAAATTTGGTACAGATATAGTTCGAAACTCGAGAAAGGATATAGGATGGTTTTTAAACCTTAAATCTGCAGAAGGTCACTTACTAAATCGCGGGCTAAAGCTAGTATTTTTCATATTTTACTTAGGACTGATTGATTATTCAATAGTCAGATAAATGTTATGTAAGGAATAAGATTGTTGCTGTCACTGTCTTATACAAACATTGTGACGCGACAGCATCATAATTATTCACCAGGTAACTTTTATCTAACCATTGAAAAATCAGCTCTTATCTAAAAATTTTGGTAAGCCTAGTATAAGTGTGGGAGAGCCATGCTTCGGCGCGAATGGGTCGGCTCGACCGTCGTTATGCCACGGCCTCACAGAATACCGGCGTGAAACAACACACAGCGTTGTGTTTCGCCGTGTGAGTGAGGTTACCAGAGGCCCAATCCCTCCTCTTCCCCTATCCCTTCCGAATCCTTATATCCGCAACCAACGCCGGTTTTCTGTGAGGCCGTGGTATCACTCCAATCGAGCCGACCCATTCGTGTCCCACACTTTTTTATGGTATAAGTCAGTATCAGCAATGGAGCAGACGGATTACCTGGTAGTAAGCAATCGTCTCCACCCACCAAAGGAGTATAGAGTGCGTTGCCGGCCTTTTAGGGATAAGGGTTTCGGATATTTCAGGATTGGGAAGGGATTGGGCCTCCGGTAACCTCACTCACACGGCGAAACACAACGCTGTGGTTACTTCACGCCGGTTTTCTGTGAGGCCGTGGTATCACTCCGGTCGAGCCGACACATGCGTGCCCCACACTTAAAATATGCTTCTATTTTAGTGATGTTTAAATAACTATTTTCTACGTTTTTTTTAAGGCCATGGTATGATTCAGGTTCAGCCGACCCATTCTTTTAACAAGGCTCTCCCACACTTATAACATACTTCTATTTTAATTTTTAGTTATATAAATATCCATATAAATGTTTGACTGCACGGTTGGTGCAGTGGCTGGGCAACTGGCTGTCGTGCAACGTGTCGCGGGTTCGATTCCCGCACGGAACAACTCTTTGTATGATCCACAAATTGTTGTTCCGGGTCTGGGTGTGATGTGTATGTGAAATTGTATGTTTGTAACCTCACCCACGACAGAGGAGAATCTCAAAGTTTTTTTTTTTAAATATGTATAAATATGTTTTTTCTTTACAGATAGGCGATTGGACGCCAGCCGCCCCGCCTAGCGCGTCTCGACTCCAATACCTGGACCTCAGTATGTGTAGTATATCTCCATCCACCTTGGACACGCTCCTAGCTTGCTGTCCAAACCTTAAAAAGCTTAGTCTAGAGAGTCTACCGGTAGAGGACTCTACTCTCAGTATTATAGGTGAGTACTTTTAATATTTATCAAGTGTGGGAGAGCCCTGAGCCATGCTTCGGCACGAATGGGTCGGCTCGACCGGAGTGATACCACGGCCTCACAGAAAATTGGCGTGAGACAACGTTAACGTTGTCTTTCGCCGTGTGAGTGAGGTTGCCGAAGACACAATCTCTCCCCATCCCTCCTCAATCCCTGGACCTCCAAATCCCTTATCCCCAAAAGGTCGGGAACGCACTCCTAACTCTTCCGTTGGCGTCAGAGTTGCTGTAACTACGTTGTCGGTTGTCGACCTTTTGTGGCTTAGGGTTTCGGAAATTTAGGGATTGGGGAGGGGAAGGATTGTGCCCTTGGTAACCTCAGTCGTACAATGAAACTCAAAGTTGTTTCACGCCGGCGTACTGTAAGGCCGTTGTCATTCCGGTCGAGACGACCCACCTGGGTGTCATGTGTATGTGAATTTGTATGTTTGTAAACTCACCCACGACACAGGAGAATATCCTAGTTTTATCCTAGTGCAGAACAGTGTTTAATTTTTAGAGTAATTTTTTATGGTATAAGTCGGCAAACTAGCAGACGGATTACCTGATGGTAAGCAATCAGCGCCGCCCATGGACACACGCAACACCAAAGGAGTTACGAGTGCGTTGCCGGCCTTTTGGGGATGGGGGTTGCGGATATAAGGATTGGGAAGGGGAGGGATTAGGATTATGATATTAATAATATTATTTTGAAATATTTACAGGTCGTTGTACGAATTTAGAAACTTTAAATCTAACAATGGCCTGCGGATTGAAGACTGAAGGTTTCAAAGCTCTCTTCGAAGGATGTACTAGGTGAGTTATATTTATATTTTGCTAACTGTTCTCTCTACACACACGCACACACACACACACACACACACACACACACACACACACACACACACACACACACACACACACACACACACACACACACACACACACACACACACACACACACACACACACTAAGTTCTTCATGGTAGATATCCTACCCCACCTTGGTGCGGAGCGAGAGGAACTGGGACGCAGTCTCCTCCTTCTGTAAAGCAGTAATGCTCGCAAAGAGGGAGGCGGCCCGCGTGAGGGAGCAATCCTCCTCCTCACGCCCCAGCCGCCGCAACAGGCGTCTGTAAAGGCGTCGGGATCAACGGACGGTCTCCGGCCACCGTTTTTAACGTTGAATTAATTTATTGTTGTCTTAGGAAACGACCCAATCTACACCGTCTTAAAAAGGTCGCTAAGCTAACCCTTAACATGCTAATATAGACTGAGTTTATCACTGCGGTTGGTAGTAGTTGATGGTAAGCAATCAACGCCGCCCATGGACACCCGCAACGAAGGAGTTACGTGTGCGTTGCCGACCTTTTAGGGATTAGGGATTTGGAGATTTAGGGATTGGGGAAGGGGAAGGATTGGGCCTCCGGTAACCTAACTCACACGGCGAAACACAACGCTGTGGTTGTTTCACGCCGGTTTTCTGTGAGGCCGTGGTATCACTCCGGTCGAGCCGACGCATGGCTCTCCCACACTTAATATTGTATTATTTATAGCTTAAAACATATTTTTCATTTCCAGCTTATTGGCCCTGAATCTGGGCTGGTGTGGTATCAGTGAAGAGTGTCTACAAGTCTTGGTAGAGAAAGCGCCACAGCGCTTACAGCGTCTCAACTTGGGAGGTATCCGAACACTCAACGATGACAGTAAGTAAATCTGGTGTTCATAATTTAATACTTGAACACAGAGACACACTCACATACGCGTCCTAACATCCACCCCCTCTGTCACACACTCAAACACCCTCCCTCTCTTCTATCTTACACACCCTCTCTCTCTCTCTCTGTCCCATCTCTCCTCTCTCTTTGAAACACACTCTCTCGCCTCTCTTACACACATTCTCTCTCTCCTCTAACACAAACTCTCGCTCTCCTCTCTCTTAAACACTCTCTGACCTTTTTTCTCTTACACACCCTCTCTCCTATGTCTCTCTCTTACACAAACTCTCTCCCCCTTCTCTTTCCCCCCTCTCTCCTCTCACTCTTCTCTCTTACCTACACACCCTCTCTCTCCTCTCTTACGCATCCTCTCTCTCCTCTCTTACTGAACCTCTCTCTCTCCTCTCTTTACAGAGAGAGCGTTCTCTCTAACTCTCACTCAGTCCATGAATCTGACACCTTAGCGGTTTTGATAGCTTTATAAAAACAATAGGTGTTCCTCAGGGACGTATATTGGGCCCTTCGCAAACAGTATCTTAACAAAACCCTTAATATTATTATTTTCAGTATTGGAAAGGCTAGTGAACCGTTGCCCAAGACTTTTGGAACTCGACGTTTCGGATTGCGGTAACTTAACTATAAAGAGCGTATCTTCATTCCTGAAGCTGCATCGTTTGGAACATTTGGCTGTTAATAGATGCTACATGATACCTATTACGGAATTGCCGTGAGTATACATCGAAACTAATATTATAAATGCGAAAGTAACTCTGTCTGTCTGTCTTTTCTTCACGCCTAAACTACTGAACCGATTTGGAGAAAATTTTGTACAGACATAGTTTGAAACTCGGAAAAGGACATAGGATAGTTTTTATCCCGGGATGAGAACTTCCCTATTCCCGTTCCATACGAGATCAGGAACTATGTCGGTAAAACCAAAAATCTGCCAGAAATCACTATTTTACGCGGACGAAGTTGCTGGCAGAAGCTAGTCTATACTAATATTATATAGAGGTAAAATTTGTAAGTTTGTATGTAGGGGGTAATCTTTGGAACCGCTGGTCGGATTGCCAAAATTCTTTCACTGATAGAAAGCTACAACGTTCCTGAGTGCTATAGGCTATAAAACATCACGCTACGATCAAATAGAGCCTAGCAGCGGGTGAAACCGCACGAGAGTAACTAGTCTCTCATAAAGGCTTGTTTTCTTTTACAATAATATATATTTTTCTCCCCCCCGACAGCGAATTAGCAGCCCTTCCACATCTTCAGTACCTGGATATATGGGGTTTGCTGCAGAACCACTCAATGCCGTCATTCCGGGCGACCGTACCCAACTTGACAGTCAACACCTTTATGTTCAGGTCAGTACACGTATTTAACTTGATAAGGCGATATAGTAGGTATTTACCTATGAAATTGCCGTTTTGCATGAAACAAATTAAACGAATTTTTTTATTTGAAATGCGATGAAAATGTAAAGAATCAAACATAATTAATTAGCCTTACACCCGGTTTCTGAAAGGCTTGTCAACGCTAAAATTAACTAATCTCCTTTTAAATCTCTTGTCAAGTCATCTGATTGGTTGTTGATAATTCAGTCAACCAATCAGATGACTTGACAAGAGATTAAATTGATTTTAACATTGATCGGCCTTTCGGAAACCGGGTGTTAGCCTACCAAAAACTATTTTGATTTGAATGGCCAGTACTGCAGAACGGCAATTTCATAGGTAAAGACCAATTATATATGCTATATTCCTTTCAATTTTCTATTTTTTGTATTATGATCCCCGTGAGCGAATTACTCTGTTCCCCCATTAACAAAATAATCGTTTTCTCCTCCAAAGACTTATTAAAAAATCCTTCGATATTATAGTATATTTTTATAGAAATTATAATACGGTAGTTTCCAACTGTCAAATTCAATACTTTTATCCAAATGTCAAAAACGATACTTTTCTATGAAATTTGTATGAAAAACTAAGTTTGTGACGTCATAGTTTGTTTGCGTCAAATAGTTTACTTATTCCTTAACCCGTTGAATGTCGGTTTATAAGACACAATATAAAATACATTGTGTCTCGCGTGGATCCATGTTTAAGACATACGAAAGGTTAATAATTAGCTACAAAACATCTAAAATTCAGTGTATTGACTGATCGATGTATAAAAGTATAGTTATTTTTCAATATTCTATTGTATTAAAACGTCGAATTAATTTATTTTTGACCTAGGAAACTACCCAGTTGTAAATAATATAGATTAATGTCACTGTGATTTTAACAGTAATAGATTAAAAAAAAACTAATATTTATATAAAACCGTATTCCTTTAAAAAAAAGCGTATCGCTACATGGTATAAAACAAAGTCGCTTTCTCTGTCCCTATATCCCTATGTACGCTTAAACCTTTAAAACTACGCAACGGATTTTGATGCAGTTTTTTAATAGACAGAGTGATTGAAGAGGAAGGTTTATATGTATAATGACATCCATTAAATAGTGGAGACATTTAGTATCAGCGTTGCATCCGTGCGAAGCCGGGCGGTCGCAGTCTATTATATTTGGTACCTTAAAACTTTTTAACATTAGATAATTTTTATGTATTATTTATCACATAAAGCAACCCGAGAAATTATATCTGTAGTCTTTATTTATTTATTTATTATAAGGTAGGCTCACAGCTTATGTATACAAAGTGGTTTAAAGTATTGGTTATAGGCAGTAGGTCATATACAATACATTAGCCAGTTACGAGCTAACCAACATTCTAAAAATTATGCGTTTATACAGTCAAAATATATAGAAACTAAAAGTAGTCTTGAAAAATACGTGTTTTAAAATTTTTATCAACCAAGGCAAGCATTTCCTTTCCTATCTGAACTGACTGACTCCTCAGAAGAGAAGCATCGAAATAAACTTATAACAATATTTAGAACTATACTAATCATGATCATCATCATCAGCCTATAAGTGCCCACTGCTGAGCAAAGGCCTCTACTCACACGGAGAAGGTTTGAGCATTAACCACCACGCTTGCTTAAGGCGGATTGGCGATTTCAAACTTATAGGTAGAAATTATAAGTCCAAGTTTCCTCACAATGTTTACCTTCACCGTATGTCAGTGGTGTCTAAATAATCATAGAAAGTAGGTACATATAACTCGGAAAATGTCACATTGGAATTTGCCAGTAGTTATAATTATTGTTTTTTTTATGTTATGGTAAGTGTGGGAGAGCCATGCTTCGGCACGAATGGGTCGGCTCGGCCGGTGTGATACCACGGCCTCACAGAAAACCGGCGTGAAACAACCACAGCGTTGTATTTCGCCGTGTGAGTGAGGTTACCGGAGGCCCAATCTTTCCCCTCAATCTCTCCAAAACTCTAATCCCTAAAAGGTCGTTTCTCCTCAACGCACTCGTTTCTCCTCCATTGCGGGTGTCCATGGGCGGCGCTGATTGCTTACCATCAGGTAATCCGTCTGCTCTTTCGTCGTCCTATTACATACAAAAATGACTCGTATAGTCGGTTAACGAGCAAACGGATTTCCTGATGGTAAGCATTCGGCGTCGCCGATTGACACTTGCAACACCAGAGTAGTAACGAGTGCGTTGCCGGCCTTTTGGGGATTAGGGTTTCGGCGATTTAGGTATTGGAAGACACTCACACGATTTTGATTTTTTTTTAAATAAAACGTTGCCCTACATCATGAATTTCTCCTGTGTCGTGGGTGCGTTTAGAAACATACAGATTCACATACACATGACACCCAGACCCGGAACGACAATTTGTGGATCACACAATACAATCTGAAATAAATTCTCTCTCTCTCTCTCTCTCTAGTGAGGAGTTCTGGGGAGGTAAAAAGGGATGCCCGTATTGCCATGCACCGGAGCAGTGCGAAACTACACATTGTTATCTATACGTCTGGAAACTTCTATTAAAAAATTACCAAAGACCTCTAGATAAGGTCTAATTGAAGAAAGCCTTTAGCTAAGCTACCTCTACGAAGTCTTAGGGTCATCTCATTAGAGTCACCTGGCACCCACACTGTCCAGTCCTTGGCGATAGCTAGTCCAAAGTGGACTTCGCGATATCTATACTAATGACTTTAAACTCCAAAAAGGAAAGTTTGAAATTTCATCGAAATCTTTAAGGTCGTTTCCGAGATTATAATAATATGCTTCTTCAAGCAATCAGCGCCATCTGCCTGGCTGCTTTGTGGATCTAAACCCATCCAGGGCAGTCAAACGCATACAGAAAAAATCATTTAAATCTGTCAAGCCGTTTAGGAGATGTTCCATCAATATTAAAAACTATTTTGCAATTAATACTTACATATAATATTATAAAGCTGGAGAGTTTTTTTGTTTGTTTGTTTGAACGCGTTAATCTCCGGAACTACTGGTTTGAATTGAA